GCCATTTTAGAGAAAGACCCTCAGACCAGTACCAACAGAAAGATAAAAGCTTTGAAGGAATGGGAGACAGAAGCCCTTATAATGAACAAAGACATTTAAAAACTTGTTTTGCTTGTCGAAAAGCAGGCCATTTTATTTCAAATTGTGAATTTATTCAAAACAAAGAAATGGGACAACAGAAAACAGGGGGAGTTGTACCTAAAAAGATGTACTATATACAAAAGCAGGATGAAGGGTCGGAGACAAACCAGCAGAATGGCAGTTTAACTGACACGGTGACACAGGACCAACTGCCTCCGCTAGCAGAGATAGTCTACTGCTATCACATTAAAACCAACAGGGAATTGATGAAGTCATCTGGAGAAAATATTTACATTACTAATATCAAATATTTAGCTTTGAGAGATTCATGTTCTCAAATAACAGTATGTCATATTGATTTTATTCCACAGGAAAATATCATTCCAAATGAGAAAATTGCAGTTAAAGGAATTGGGACAGAATTAAGTAAGTTACCCATGGCTAAAGTGCGTATAAGGTATAAAGAGTGGACTGGTAAATTTAAAATAGCTGTCTCAGATCAGATCCATACGCCTTGTTTAATTGGTTTAGATTTAATTAATTATATCAAAACTGGTATGATCACCACATGCTCACAGACAGAAAAGATAGAAAATCCTTATGGTAATAGTGAGGTTCCTGAGGAAGATATAAGTGTCTGTCAATCACCTGAACTTGCAGGAGGTGTAGATATAATAAAGTCTCAGAAAAAGAGTTTTAAACAGAAACAAGAAAATTATACGCTGCAGCAATCTTTTAATGCAGTCAAAGAAGAACCAGTAATTCCAGAATTCCCTAAAAGAGTCTTTATAGATAAAAATATCCACAAACAAATGGATATCCCTTGTGAGTACAGAGAGATGTCTGGAGTTGAAAAAGAGGTTTGGAATAAGATGAGACATGTTAAGGGTGGTTTCATATATACAAGCTCACAAGGTAGTCAGAATACACCCACTACAGCAACTGGAGAAAGTGGGGGAGAAAAAAAACTGCTAGAGAGTCAGAGTAATAAATGGGTAGAAGAAAGTTGTAAGGGTATGAGAAAGCCCAATGAAAGGAATTTTGCCCAGGAGCTAAAGGAGAATAATAGCTCAGAGAATTGTTTAAAAGAGGTTCAAAATTACACCCTAATATTTCCTGAAAGTCCTGAGAAAATCTGTATAGACAAAGATCTTATAACTAAAGAAAACTTCTTAGTGATGACTCCTGAAAAAGAGGAAAACTTACATGAGGCTCAGGAAACATCATATTATCCTGAGGTTGTGAAACTGAAAACTTTAGAGGGATATAAATTGCAGTCAGCAGAAGTGGTGGGGGACGTGGTGGCGCTGCGGGCTAAACCGCAGAAGCCTGTGCTGCAGGGTCAGAAGACCAAGCAGTCATAAGATCGAATCCACGCAACAGAGTGAGCGCCCGTCGCTTGTCCCAGCTCCCGCCAACCTAGAGGTTCGAAAGCATGTAAATGCGAGTAGATAAATAGGAACCACCTCAGTGGGAAGGTAACAGCGTTCCGTGTCTAAGTCGCACTGGCCATGTGACCATGGAAGATTGTCTTCGGACAAAACGCTGGCTC